CGAGCGCTAAAACTGCATACAAACTGTTTCTCAGTCGCATGCAGATAATGGGAATCGGATCAGGTATTCTTACTCAAGATAGTTTCACTTACAAAGAAAAGCTCTACATTTCAAGCACTTTGAACGACTTTGCTTGTACCGTCATGAGTTCGGCACCAGATCAACTAGGTACAGTCAACCATGCGTCTCATCTTAACAGATACCAAGAAAATGGTTTCACAGGTCTGTAAAACTGAAGACAATTGATTGTTCAACGATGATGCGTAGTGTCGCGATTCGGTCTGTGCACAACCGGTCCTTACGGAATCCGGCCTGTAGATCTTGAAGCTGGATGTTTACTGAAACCTTCATTCGGTTCAGCGACACTCTGTGGACGACGTTTTCCGGTGCTTCTGTAGCTGAGCCCACACATTTGTTCAAATCTCTTTATTTTGATATATTGATGACGTGTCTTTCTTCCCAGTCTGTTGTCACCTGTTCTTCCTCACAAATCTTCCTGAATAGAACGTGAAGTAGGTATAATTACATCTGTGTGACTTGAGTGCTTCGGCTGATATATTATCAGGTCATGCTGCTTTCCCACTACTGATTTGATGGTGCTTCTCTGATCCATTTTGAGCTGTCCTCAATAGTAGTTTTTTCTTCTTTGAGTAGATCTTGTAAGGCGTGGTAGCTGTTGTTGAAAGTTCTGTGGAATTGGTTGAGTTTGTCAATATGTTGGAGGAAGTGTGTATTGGACCTTTTTAATGCTGTTTCCCCAGTTTTGCACTGTTTCTTTACCTTCAGTTTCATCTTGGAAACCACCTCTTAGTGGTGATTTGAAGCTATGTCAGCTCTTCCCCTGTTTCTCACGTCTTCCATCGACCTTCTGCATAATGTCTATTATGGGTACTTTAGTGATTACCTACTACTTATGTCGTTTTAATAATCTTATACTACTCAAATTCTTCCTGGGTATGCGACGTACTTTATAAGGCAATGGTTCTCCGTGTAAGATATTGACAGTCAACGATTTGATCATAGTTAAATGACCTTATGTTTAAATAGGTTGTTTTAGTGACTTCAATATTGTCGAGGACTTATAGATGCTTTATATATTTATATATATATTGCCTATATTTGATTAACACACTTTGCTCCTTATATGTAACCATAGATAGAGTTATGTATATTCCATTCTCAATGAAAATTATATGCTGGTTTGAATGTGGGGGCTTTTGTATTGCACAATGAGTCTAATTTCCTACTCTAGTGTGTATTGGTTCATAAAAATGTGGTTTTATACACAAGATTTTGAAAAATAGGAGTGTAATCCACACTTATCTTCAAGTTATTTATATCTACAATCAAATAAACTTTTATATCTGTCTCGTCTTCTTTCGTATAAACTGTGTTATATTCATTACCATAAATCTATACTATATCAGTTATTATAGATCTTATTAACAAACAATACATCTCATTGGTGAATTAAGAAGTTTTATGGATTAAAACATTTCGAAATACGTTATAGGAAAGCTTTTCTAAACGTAATTCAATGGCCCCAAGTAATTCAGAAACCGCAACCTTATAATAAGAATTTGTGATTATTCTTATTATTTCATTATTCGATAATCTAAGATATTTACAAGAATCGGAGTAGTCCTTCGGCTGCATACATATCTACGACTTGATTTACGTACGCATCATAAAAGCTACGCAAGGTTTCTAACTTGAAAATCGAGTTAACCATAAAATCCTGAAAGAAAAAGAATGAAATGTGTCTAAAAGTACGGTAGTATTTTAGGGAACAGTATAAACCTACAAATCTCATCGTGAAGTATGTAGGTTGTTAGTTACACGACTTATACGGCCTAAACCGTAAAACCGGGGTTACTGAATAGCTGTTACATCTCAGCTTAGGATTCTGCAGGAGTTCATGAGATCGGGCCTGGAGCATTCGGGTCTCACGGTGAGTACGATTTCTTCTAGTCAAAATACTATTTGTAACAATTTCGCAGCTTATGTGAAACCAACTTGAGAATTGAACAAATTTCCGGAAAACCACCTACGTGAAAGTTAGATTACACCGTCGAGAGGAAAGTATGCTCTTCTAAGAAGTAGATAAGAGTACAGTTGCAAAATGTTCCCTGATTTACAAAACAGGTACAACGTTTGAATATAGACAAAGCATTCGCGAATGCTAATGACCGTAAAGAAGTTTTATGAGAAGAGCTAGGAATATGAATATGAAGTTAATTCAAGGTATACTGATGAGCCAATTTTCTAAAAATGTAATATTATATCGTCTTTCGGATATTTCTTCTGAGTGCGTTGTAGAACTATCATAGTAACCACTGAACGGTGGTAGGGTCTACTAGCTTTGTAGTGTCCTGGATCGCCGCATATTGTTTATTGATGATGGATCCTACTGACGTTATTTATAAAAACACAGTTTAACAGATGATACTGTAGATAATAGTAGAAATTTACGAGTAGATTTCCGCATACAAATATGGGTTTAGGAATTTATGGTATGAAGTTTGCGAATGGTGGTGGTGGTCTTTCTTGACTTAAAAGCAGCATTTGACTCGGTAGACCGCGAGACTCTGTGGCAGTGTCTGTCATTGAATGGCGTACCCCAGAAGTACATAAACCTTGTAAAAGCTCTTTACTCGAACACTACTAGTCGAGTCAGAGCTTATGGCGAACTGTCATCTGCTTTTGAAACCTCAAGTGGTGTCCGTCAAGGCTGGCCACTTTCTCCATTTTTGTTTAACTTCATCATAGACCTACTGATGGAAATAACATTCTCGGGTATTGATCTCCTTCCAGAAGGTCCACTTATCGACTGAGAATATGCAGATGACATAGTCCTGTTTGGTGAAGACGCTGATAGGATGCAGAGTCTTCTGGTAGCACTAAGCAACAATGCCAGAATGTTTGGAACTAAGAGATTAAAATCGCTTCATATCTTTCTCCCTGTACTATATCCATATATGCAATCTTTCTTTTATATATTACCACCTCTTAATTAACTACTTTTATGAATCCGGTGTCCATCTTGTTGTGTTAATGAGGTATGGCAACTTGGACTGATGCATATAGGTGCCTGGTCCTACGTTGTAGCTGACTGACGAGTTCGCGAATTGTCTGAAGATAACTTCGTGTCATTGATTGACCTTATAACTTATCATGACGTAATTGGATTATGGAAGAAATGAGAATCAGATATGGCATACTACAGACCATATAATTACACATCAAGTTGGATTAGTTGTTTATAATCGGTTTAAATTTAGTGAGTTATTTAGTAATTGCAGCTCTGAGAAATCCCTTTCTACTAGTATCGTATGAGCCGCTACAAAAGTCTAGCAGCTTAGCGAGTCTAGGTCTGGTATCTTCCGAAGTGAGGATTCATCGCTTGATTGACAGACTAAATAGGGGATGAAATTTTGGTGGTGCAATGAGATGTTCTGTGGAGTACCATTTGAACACACATTAGTAAAAGGGGACACTAGATACATATGCGCTACACGATAACAATGGGGCCAGCAGCCGTTGTTGATGGTATGTGTGAGAGCTGGGACGCTGTCCGATTGCCCAAACCGAAGCAAGTGGTTTTCTTAGAGGGTCACACCCGGAGCCTTCGACCTGAAAGTATAATCCACAAGGCAGTGGAACAACATCAGGAGATGCAGTCCTATAGTAGCCGGTGACGAGCAACAGGTTCATACACTTTTTGGATCCTGCAGTCCATGTGAATCATTTGTTTGGGATCAGGGTTTTCCAGCTCACCTAGGTGGGTCCATCAACCTGGAAAAGCGTCGGACATTTGCCCTTCGTCTTCTCAACTTCCTAAACAACACCCCCTTGCTAGAAGGCGGTGAGTACGACTCCTCTCGCAGTAGCCACGAGTGGGTGAGCGGATTCTCCTCGACCGTGCCACGGCATTTAGGGGCCACTTAAGGGTCAGGTACAGGCGAGACACCGAATCCCTTACAAAGGCAAGTCCATAGATGCATTGATATATATATATGGATAGAATACCTAGACAATGTGATTTTCACGCAGCATGTCTAGAAATGAAATCCTCGTGAAATTTACTGGCACACATGTTGCTCATTCTTTGTTGGTACGATTAGAACAGTCGCATTCAGAGTCAGCCGTTAGGAAACCAAGTGGTCAAATTATAATCGAATATAGAAGTGGACCGTCATTATACTAAAACCGATATTTTTGGGGGAGCTTCTCATAACCCCGTCGCCACAGTACACCCATGCACTAAATGGGACTCACTCTAACAGATGCGAACATCCATCTATTGTTCCCACAATCCAACCATGCAATTTTGTTGTCTCCGTAACTCTACCAATGACATAGCGTCTACCAACTTTATTTCACGCGGCGACCTAAAATGTATTTTCCTAAATTCCTTAAAAAGTCTTGTTCTCTCCAAAACTTGCTACCACTATAAAGAGACAGTACTTAATAACACTGTGGTCCAAACTAGGAATCGTTAGATAATTGCAGATGCCTAGTAATTAGTATCTATTTTAGCTTGCCCAGATCTACCGTTACAACAACTAACAAACAGAGGCAAGCACTGATATCAATCGCCATATCCCGTAACTTCTGGAATATGGATATTTTCGAGAACAAATATGAAGTTTATTTTAGTGGTATAATGGATTTTTGTTTTAACATGAAACTGGCAGAAATGTTCACGGATGAACCGTTTGTTTAAGCAAGAGACAGTTGTTGCAACCAACTAAATGAATGTCTCAACGGATGGTACGCAAGCTCGAAAACAATAAAAATATCGGTCTCTGAATCATCGAGAACACTAGTTGTATCTCTAAAGAATTTCTATTTCAGTAGGACAAGACGCAACTGGTTACACGAATGGCAATTTACGGAGACTTTTTATACTATTTTAAAATATCATTAGGTTTTATCTTTCTCCAAAGCTTTTTTCTTCCTTGACCTCATTCGCCAAATTGCGTAGCCGGCGATCAAGACTGCGTAATTGGCCATTACAATCTGCAAATAAATAAAACATGCAATAAATTAGTTTTCACAATACATGAACTGAGTTTGTCCCATTATTAATTCTCTGGGCTTTAAAGTGGTTACGATACCCCCGACTTTGTAGATGGGCTATTCCTATAAAATTATTGATGAAAACAAATGTGGTCTTGATGAACTGACAAGTATTTTCATCTCACTTTTGTAACCAAATCAACTGAAACTTCTAATTTGTGATTACAATAGACAAACCACACTAAGGTGGTACTCCACATCTATATGACACTTTCACAGGCTTGTTCGTTAAGGTACACTCAGATCAACTGTCGGTTGGGAAACAACGGTATGTTCATCACAAGCAAACGAGAAAAAAAGGAGGAAAATGAAGGGGATTCAAATGGTTGTGGACGGAATAGAAGAAGCTTTCGCTTAACAGGCTTCCGTGTCTAGTAGCAGGGGATCACCAAATCCTCCAGGCAGGAACCTAGGTATGTTTACAATAAAAAAGGAAAAGAAATTGGTAAATCATAATGTGATCCTGTCCTTGGTCCTTAAGAATAGGTCAAGTTGCCTCTTGAAGGACTCCTGAGAAGTCGCTTGGACTAGCTCGGCCGGCAGCGAATTCCAGCTTTTGACAACTCTTAAGGAGTAGGAGTTGTGTCTACATTCCGTCTTGCTATGTTGTGTTTCCAGTTTCTGGGTGTTACCCCTTAGGTTATTATTCGAACTAAGCTTAAGTAGGTGTTCAAGAGGATGTCCAGAAGTGTTAAGAATGCTATAAGCCATTAGTAAATCACCTCTAAGACGCCTATATTCTAGTGGGTAAAGGTCTAGTGAACGGAGGCGTTCTTCGTAAGGCTTAGATTTGAGTCCTCGAACTGATTTCGTGGCTCGCCGTTGGATACGCTCCAAAGTGACTTTGTCCTTATGGAGTGAGGGGGGGAGTACTATGTTTCCGCGCTCTAAATGGGGACGGATGAAACTATTGAAGATTGTGTGGAAAGTTCTTCCGTCAAACTGGCCAAAAATGCGCTTCAACGTTACCAGTGCAAGGTTTGCTCGGAAGGCATTTTTGTCACAGTTAGCGTACGACTTTAAGTCATGGGGCACCAGGACTCCTAAATCTTTTTCGACTTGGGATACTACTGGAGAGGAGTTTCCTAAGTTGTAACTGTAGTTTGCGACATGTCGCAGATGGACTACTTTACACTTTGAAGTGTTAAAGGTAAGTCCGTTATCGTCTGCCCAACTTTGAAGTCGCGTCAGATCCTCCTGAAGTGCCTGTGTATCGTCTTGGTTGCGTATCCCTCTCCAAAGTTTCACGTCGTCGGCAAAAAGTAGTAAGTCTGACGTTACCTGTTGAGGAAGATCATTTATGTAGATCAAGAAGAGAAGAGGCCCTAGTACTGAGCCCTGGGGAACCCCACTAGGACATTCCATAGCCTGAGATAAAGTGGAATTAACCCTAACCTTAAAGTGTCGATTTTTTAGGTATGAAGTAAGCCAATCGATTAGAGGTGGTTTGATACCTAGTCGTTTGAGCTTGTTGATAAGACACAAGTGGTTAACCTTATCAAAAGCTTTTGAGAAATCAAGGTAAATGACGTCAACCTTTCCCTTGCAATCGAGGATGCTTGTCCATTTGTCCACCGCAGTCAGCAGGTTGGTTATACAAGAGTAACCCTTCCTGAAACCATGCTGTTGGGGTGAGAAGAAATTTAAGGACAGTAGATAGTCATTTAAACCGTCGCATATCAGGGACTCCATGAGTTTTGAAGGTAATGACAGAAGAGCCACCGGCCGATAACTTGAAGATTCATTGCGTCGACCACCTTTGAAAATTGGTGTGATGTGAGCCAACTTCCAGTTTTCCGGTAATTTGCCTCGGCTAAGCGAGTGTGAAAACATCACGCTAAGCGGCGTTGCCAGGATTGAGGCTGCCTCCCTCAGTATGGCAGGATGAACCATATCCGGGCCAGGAGAAGTGTCAAGTCTTAAGTGCTGCAATTTCCGGAACACCAAGTCAGCGCTTAGGTCCACTTCAGAAAGTCCTGTGGAGTTTGAGATGAAACTGTCGTCAAGAAAGTTGATGTCAGCCGGTTGAAATGTTTGAGAGTAATGGGCCGCCAGAAGGTTAGCGGCGTCGCCATCGTTGTTGGTTGGGCCGTTAAGACCTAGCAGTTGAGAAACTCCTGTTTTGGCTTGACGAAGAGAGGCTGAAAATATGGATACAGAGGAGATGCGTCAGACAGTCTCATTTGTCAACTGCTGTCGTGATATAATGCATTCCTACTTTACGTCATGTCGCTGGAATGTATATATTCTGCTTAATTGTTAAAAAGTATTTTCCTAATTAATCACACAGCATTTAGTATTCTTACTCTCGAATTAGTGCGCAACTTACATTAAAACGGCCTTTTACGGTGTAGGAATTAAAATAATATCTCCAACCAGTGAACGCTGAATCTGGTATGTCACCTGACATATCGCAACGACCATTAGACAGAAAACTTTAAAACCGACGCCCATGGATTATATGTCCAATAATGTGTATTTTTGTTTTTAGTCTTCAGTAATAAGGATAGGAGGTCTGTCGACCTATATTAATCCTTGCAGTTCGTAATACTGTGGAGGTCCAATCTCGTTTTGAATATATTAACAGACGGTGCTGATATTACGTGTTCCAGTAGGGAATTCCAGTAATTCACTACTCGGTGCGAGAAACGGAACTCCAGACGTAAACGGTTTGATCTCGGTTTTTGAACTTTCTTCGAATGTCCTCCCAAATGATGGGTTCTAGACGGAAGCAAAAGATAAGACATGTTAATACCAAGGTCATCGTTCAGTATACGATAAGCCAATATTAGATCACTCCGTACTCTACGGTAAGATAACGGAAATAAGTTAAGGTGTCTCAGTCTGTCTTCATAAGATAGGCCAGCTAGACCTTGTACCATCTTAGTAGCTCGTCGTTGGACTCTTTCTAGCATATCTGCTTCATATTTGAAACAAGGACTCGCTGCTTGAATCCCGTATTCTAAATGTGGTCGCACATAAATCGGGTATAGTAATCCAAACATTTCATCATCTAAATACTGAAAAGACCTACGAATTGACCATAATACCCTATAGCCTTTTGCAGCAGCAGCCTTACAGTGACTAGTCGTTTTGAGATCATTGCTTAATATAACTCCTAAGTCTTTATAGTTTTTAGCTTTGGGTAGCACGAATCCACGTAGTGTATAGTCATACGATTCATCAGAGTCATTTAACTGCATCACTACACTCTTATTAGGATTTACTTTTAGTGACCACCTGTCTAACCATGCCACCAATGAGCTAAGATCGTCCTGTAATACTATTCTATCCGACATACTATGTATGGGTCTCCAAATCTTTATGTCATCGGCGAAGAGTAGAACGGATGATTTTGCTACAGTTGGCAATTCATTTACATAAAGTGAAAAGAGAAGAGGACCTAGGATTGTGCCTTGGAGAACCCCACTTTTTACAGGTACCCACGAAGAGAGAGCCCCATTAACCCTTACCCTTTGTCTCCTGTCATGAAGAAAGTTACTTATCCAATCGACGACTGTGTTATGGATTCCAAAACGTTTCAGTTTGAATTTAAGACCAGAGTGTGAAACCTTATCAAAGGCTTTACTTAGATCTATGAAAATTACATCCACAGGAGCATTCCGATCTTTTGCCGGAGCCCATTCTTCTCGTGCAATGAGATTTGTCAAGCAAGATAGGCCTTTCCGAAAACCATATTGTGCCCTGGAGAAAAGATTTTGCCCTTCAACATAGTTTATAACAGCTATCCGAATGATTTTCTCCATCAGTTTCACAACTGCACTAGTTAAGCTAACGGGTCTATAGTTACTAACTAAATCCCTACTCCCAGCCTTATACACCGGACTTATTATGGCGTCTTTCCAGTCTCTAGGAAGTCTGGACTGTCTCAGAGACATGTCGAATAGTATCGCTAATGGTTCAGCAATTTCATCTGATATGGCTTTCATAATCCTAGGATGAATATCATCGGGACTACTGGATGATGTACACCAACTAGTTACCCCGGTTTTATGTTAGTAGATTTTTACAGATTATCACTGAATAAAGAAGATCCGTTCGCGTCTCAATAATGTCGTGTTTAACGCAAACATCGCGTTTAGTTCCTGTTTTTGCATGTCACTAAATTCTGTAGTTAAAAGCCTCTATAGAACGTACAGGTCTCTAAAATAGACCGCTCATAATGCATCGAATAATAAGCGCCAAGTTTTAGAGATTCCCCCTTTTAGCTCAGCGCATCGCGAGCGCTAAAACTGCATACAAACTGTTTCTCAGTCGCATGCAGATAATGGGAATCGGATCAGGTATTCTTACTCAAGATAGTTTCACTTACAAAGAAAAGCTCTACATTTCAAGCACTTTGAACGACTTTGCTTGTACCGTCATGAGTTCGGCACCAGATCAACTAGGTACAGTCAACCATGCGTCTCATCTTAACAGATACCAAGAAAATGGTTTCACAGGTCTGTAAAACTGAAGACAAATAACTAAAGGGTTGCTTGTTCTACATATCAGGCATGAGTTCTGGAGTGAATTGTGGGACTAGTAAAAAGTCGCTGCGGTCTGGAGTTTAGGACATTACGTTGGTGATCCATATTGGTGAACAAGACGTCGAGTATCGCACCATTTCATTATAATGTTTATGATTGCATTCTTTTTCATTTTCATCGTCTTCTATATTAATCAATCACTGTGAACATTCGTTGCTTCATATCAATGTTGATTTCTATTTAAACCCAAATAATTAGTTGGATTGATAGAACTAACTAATCAACTACGATTACAATCGACTTTGTGGTTCTTTAACTAACATTAACAGTCTATAAATGCTCCTGTGTAATATATCTGTTTAAATATCAACCACTCGTAAGTATAGATACAAGCCGACACGATCGCACATCTATTTGTAAATTATCCATTTGTATAAGCGAGACAAACTATTGATCATAAATTAATTATTCTGCTTAATCACTATCAACTATCTTTCGTCAGAAACTATCCACTAGAATGTTTTACTTGACCACTGCCTCCCAAGTTTCCAATCACTGAGTTCCATGATCAAACAGAGGATATGAATGCTAGAAATTTTCGGCAGGTTTGGCTATTAGTTTTCTGCAATCTTAGATCCCGTTTAAAATGTTTGTCAGGCAATGCTGCGTATTTAGCTTATATAAATTCAGTCTACAACGATGTGCTAACCGAGGGTATGATCAACAGTACCTCGTGTATAATCCAGATTCGAATTACTGTCTACTTTATATTCTCATTACTTGGTAATATCAATATGTATGAGTCATATATACATAGTGAAGATAAAACGAGTCTGAGACGTTAATTTACGTGTAACACAAGTTATTGCCTTAATTACAATCTTCGTAATCTTAAAAATAATATTTATTTAGAAGGAAAAAAGTGCGATAAAAGAAATGGAATCTAGTGAAAGGGTCAAACCATGACAATATTATTAATTGTGTGGTGAATATCGACCTTTGAAGTAAACCAACAATTTAAATAAATAAAAAAATTAAATAAGAATATACTCTTTGCTGCATTCGGATAAATACATGTAGATCTATGTAATTGTATACAGAGTGAAACCGGATATTAGTATAGATAGTTGTGCAATAATAATTTAGAATGGTGCTATGTTAATCACAATTAATTGCAAAGGATAATCAAATACAAATTTCTGTTATATATATATATATATATATATATATATATATATATATGGTGAAGATTAAATGAATCTGAGAAATTAATTTGTTTAAGTTTAGCATAGGATAATTTTTCCTCATTTTCGTTATAGACTTTGAATGTTTAGGAATAATATATGTTTAGAAGGACAAGGAGCGATGAGAAGAATATCTTATGTGTGTGAATACGAATATAAGCAGATTTCATATGTTAAAATGAATAAAAATAAAATAAAATAGATATTGAAAGTTTCAAATGTTACTCTTTGCTCTACAGTCAATTAGTTAGATGATAGACCTTGTTCGTATCAATCATTATCAAACAAATTGATATTCAATAGGTGACACAATCCACTTTCGGAAAGAAAATCATCAAGGGGACTTCTGAACCAAGTTGTATGAGGAGAAAATTCTGGCTTAAGTTTGTGTAAGGTCTTGAATACCATAGAGTATGAGGGTGTGGATACCGAGGAAGTATTTTTACCTGACTTCTGAGGGTATTAGATTATTAAAACCTTGATGACAAACTAATCTGGCCACGTGGAATCAAATATCCAGGTTTAGTTCTACACCTGCTTCAATAGTGAACGCTATAGACAACACAATGGGTGATTCAATCAGCGTTTCGTAACCAGTTATGTTTTCAAAGGACGGTTTAAAAGGCAATGCACCGTTGGTTGACATAGACTGTAGAGCACTAACGAAATCTGAAAACAGCAGACGTGATGTATACTGTACATGAGAAATTCTTCACTATACTCTATATCATAGTCATCCAGTTA